TCGGCTTTTATCACTCCTTTTGGGTTATTTGAGTGGAATCGAATGCCCTTAGGCCTGAAGAATGCGCCCCAGATCTATCAACGTATGATCGATAACGTGGGTTCACCCGGATCCCGAAGTCTGAAGATCATGGAAGTACTTCGGATGTGTTTGAGGACGGGGAACCAGTGGATCCAGGCAAGCCTTCGGTGCTTGGTCGCAGATCATATATCGATGACATCTTGATCCCCGCCGATAACCGGGACCAACTATGTGACCGAGTCGTGGGGTTGCTCGAAGCATGTGATAAGTAGAATCGGTCGATCAGTGTGGTTAAAAGTTTCTGGGGGATGCCTAAGGTGGAATATCTGGGTCATAAGGTATCCCACAATGGACTGGAGGCGACCCGAAAGATCTGTCGGCGCTGACGGATCTAGCATTTCCTGGATCCCTTCGAGCCATGCAGTCATTCTTAGGAAGTCTGAACTACTATAGTCGATTGATTGAAGACTACGCGATCTATGCATCAGTTCTGTATGAATTGCGAGAACTTGACTTTGTTGCGATGTCAAAGGAGGCTACCCAAGCGCGGATCCAACAAGTACTGGAAGTGGAGGACGCAGATCAAGGATCGCAGGGAGATCGGGGTGGCGACCACCGAAAGGCCTTGGATCTGGAGGCGCCCGACCCTATTGAGGTGGATCCGCGTTGGATCCATGCCCATCGGTCCTTCAACGTGCTTAAAACCAGGATTGCTGCCACTCCAATCTTACGACACTTTGACCCAGAACGGAAGGCCACAGTGGTGGTGTACGCTAGCGATTGGGCCATCTCAGGAGCATTGATGCAAGAATACGACCAGATTTACTACCCCGTGACGTTTGCAAGCCGTACTCTGAAGTCGAATGAGCTAAACTACGGTATCGCGGAGAAGGAGGTACTAGCACTTCTGAGGATCCTGGATCTTAACTATAATGCGTTGGTCGGGCATCCGATCCATGTGTTAACCCGACACTCAACATTGGCGTGGCTTTTCAGATCCACCGCCCTACAAGGACGTCTAGGACAGTGGGCCGCTCTGCTGTCGCCCTGGACACTTGAGATCACCAAGTGTGTCAAGGGAGAGGATGAAATATTAGGAGCACTGGCAGCCAGTACTACCCCTAGATTAAAGGCGTTGATCTCAATCGCCCCCAAAAAGGAGCCAAGACGTACGATACAAGCTCCGATCCCCACTATCGGACGAGATGAGGAGTTATATGTCGTTAGTTTCGATGGATCAGCCCGTGTCAAGAGAGGTGGAGGCGCCTACAG